AATCAGTGAGGGCGGGTCCCGGCTCAAAAGGGTCCATGTACTGTATATATGCAACAGTAGCCCTAAGGTCCTGGGTTTGAATCCCGATCAGAACAGGGTCTTTGTGAATGGGAGTTTGCATGTTCTCCCCGTGCCTATGTAGGTGTAAAAACATGCACACTAGGTATAATCCTCCAGCTGCGGTAGTCCTGACAAAGCAGAGCATCAACTTATGGAGATGGGTTCCCGGACGCTGTTACTACGGCAACCTCTGCTCCTGACTTAAGCCATAGCGGCATCAGGATGGGTCAAATGCAGAGGATGAATTGTCCTACGGGGATAAATAAAGTGCACCTTTACCTTTATACCTTCAATGTTAATGCTGCACGCAATAAAGAGAATTAAAAATAATTCCAAGGGCCACAAACTATGGGTGTGACGTGGCTCTTGTATTGGATCAGTATGGAACAGGAGCCAGTGGAGTTGTTTGGGGACAGGGGTGATGTGCTCTCTGGAGCGGGTGTGGGTGAGCAGGCGCCCGGCAGAGTTAAGACTTTAGTCAAGTTGGAGTTTGAGAGTAAAAGGAAAACTGATTACACATTTCTGAAAAGCACTTTTTATGAATCTTAGCTGCTGCAGACACAGAAACATGTTTTAGATTAACATTGTAAAGCGCTTTGGGTGACCTTGGTGTGTATAATGCGCTATATAAATAAACATTACTTGCTTACTTACTTGTCTTGTAAAGAAGAAACATTCTGTGAACAAATCAGACCACAACATGCTGTCTCCAACTCCTGTCAGCCCTGTGAGTCACTAGTTGACTATTTGAGTTGAGAGCTCACTTTTTTTCTGCCTGAAAAAAGCCGATCTAAAGATGAGTTAGAGGCAAAAAATACATACATGGGAAAACATGTAATAGAACCTTTTTTTTTTTTTTTTTAGAACAAAGAAATAGGTTACATATTGTCTGTAATATTTCTGTTGTGGTTTCAAAGATATACTGTAAAAGGTGTTAAAATAATAAAATAAAACATCTTTGGGATCATTTTCTTATTGAAGTGTTACATTGTATTTACATTTTCACATGGTTTGCATGCATGACACTTTTCTTTTTATCCCCTTTTTGTTCCCCACATCCCCTTTTCCCACACACACAAAAAACAGTTTAAAACATCTAAACAAAATGAGTAATTGATAAAAAAAAAAAAAAAACAGATAAATAAATGAATATTAATAACAATAACCATAACCTTGTCCAGGTTAATATACAACTGTTCAAGCAATGAACACATTTGGCTAAATAATCTTGATTTGAGAACATTTTGACTGCCAAGATTTGCCAGTGAGACAAGCTAAAATTATCTTGTTTTAAAAAGATACAAGAAATGTCTCCCTTTGAATGAGAAATACACTGCAATGGTTCTTAAATAAAACTAAGAGGCTTGATCCCATTGGCAAATCTGGTGTAAAGATAGTCAGAATGTACTCAATTTAAGATAAAAACCACTTGATTTAAGCACTTTGTCACTTTTTGCAGAGTGTGTATCAGATTGACTGTTCTCTGTTCCTCTCCTCAGGATGAGACTCGGGTGAAGGTAACCGTGTTGGAAGTCCTCCCCGTCGACCACTGCGATTACAGCCGGAGACTGATCCGCAACATCCACAACATGTCCTCTTCGGCTTGACCCCGGTGTAAACAATGTCCAGCTTCTTCCACCTCCTCCTCTTCCTCTTCCTCTGATGATGATGATGAGGCAGCAACAGCAAGAGCAGCCGTCCAGTGAGTGAATCATCAAAAGAAAATGACTGCCAATCAAAAAGGCTGGTATTTACTTGTTCATTTGTGTCCGCTGACCATCTGTGACACACTTTACTCCGTGGAAAGACTATTTGAACATTTTGAACTGGGTCAGGGCTAAGACGCGAACGCTACAGAGAACGCTAGATTTTTTTTATCGGCATCTGACCTAATTTCATAATCATAATGTTTTACTGTTTTTTTTAAAAGCTTTCCTCACTCTCAAGTTAATAGGCTGCCAAAATCTGGTTGTTTCTATCCGTCCAAGGTGTAACACAAGCAGTAGAACTACTAGAACTCCCAGAGCTGTCATTTTGACTGCTCCCATTTAAACCAAAGGAATTATGAAAAATGATTCCATGGATTTCTTACTTAAATGTCAGTAATCTTTAAGATTTTTATAACCTTTACTCACTTTTAATAAGGGCTAAGACGAGTGAGTAAAACTTGAAATAGAGCAAAAAAATATTTGAAATGCTAACTGTGTGCTGCCATGGTAACATATACACAACATATATTTAACTATACCTTGATACAGAAAAACTCACAAATTTAGAAAGAATTAGGGAAGAACAAAAAGTTACACACGTTGAGTAGATAAACTTACAAAACTGAAACCCGTCAAATTGACTGCTCTGTTAGTTCTAGTGTTAAGGAACTTGTTTTGTGATTGAGGGCATGGACCTGCTCATCTACAGTGACTGATTGCTTTTGCCACATGTTCAATGCTACTTACTTTTGGCCGTGTTACAGATCACATCTCTGAAAAGGCAAGCCGGTTCCCTTTTTACAGTGCTTTTACATTCATACCACATCGAAGCGTCTTTTTAAAATCTGTTCTTAAGTAAGTGTTGTTGTAGTGAGTGCTCAGAGCCACTAAGAGGTTTGTATTTGTTTTAGGATTACTGTTGGATTCGTTTTTTAACTGTGTGGTTATGTTTGTGTGTTGTGCTTCCTGAATTATGTTTGAAAAAAGTTTGCAATTAAAGGAGGCTAATTTATCTGGGCCTGTTTTTTATTATTGATTGTTTTTCATTATTATTGTTCTCATGTTTTTTTCTTTCACAACCTCAGAATGTAAC